TTTTTTAAATAGTAACAGTGATTCTCAGACTGAATACGCCTGTATTGGGTTTTGATGACTCATTTTTCCTCAATTCCCAAATCACTTTACTAACCAAAAATAAAACAACATACTTCAGTTTCACAAAAATACGAAAAAACCTTTTAGGTTTACTGGACCATTTGGACAAAATGAAACATTTTTCACAGAGAAGGTCACACTAAATTACTTCTTTAGCAACTTACGAGTCACCTTTAAAATGTAGCAAAATACAATCAGTTACCTTTAATAGCCCTTTATCACAGAATACTGTGAAGGGGCTGCTTGATTTTAAATTTAAGTCAAGTCCTGACAATGCAACACATAAATGCTACAAATATATTTGCCTTTGTTACTTATATCCATGCATCAAAATGTGTGTAAAGATAAGCCGAAATGTCAACAAATAAGCATGAAACTCATTGATAAATAAGTAATGTTTTATTCTACAGCCCACCGCTACAATTTATAGATAGATGACTTGAGTGTTTCATCCTCCGGATCACCTTCAAACAATCTAAACACAAAACAGCCCACTAAGCAAGGACACACCTACATTTTTTAAACTATAACCTAAACTGACTCCTAACAGTTAGAATCCACATAACATGGCAATGTTTATTTATTTTTGATCCAATTACAATATAAGCCACATTCAAATCACAAGAAGCCATCTTTAATTTCCAATTCTTCTTTTGTTTTTAATCGATCATAAAGACAATTTGAGTGTAACATTGTACTCTTCTTACATTCTTTGTGATACCTTTTACAGTACTGCAGATTTTTCAGTTTCAACAGGGGTTCTTGGTTGTGCTAATTCTTATTTCCCCACCTTTACTGACTGATACTAGTGCTGGGCTGTAAAACAAGGCATTATTAAAACTACTATGCTAATTTTTCTTTTTTAACGTTCTAAAGCCCAATCCTCACAGCATCCAAGTTAAAGTGACATTTCTCAAATCCTAGCATACTGAGGCCACAGCTAATTTTCCTCCTTTGCACTTCATACTAACCTACAATAATGCTCTTATAGCATGGCACTGTCAATATGAACCCCTATAAAACTGGTTGAAAAGTGCTGCTGAATAAATTAAAGAACTAAAAGCAATATTATTTTGCAGCAATACCAGTACTTTATTTCAAACTATATATTACTATTTCCATTTGAAATGAAGTCAATGCTAAGTGTAAAAGCAAAGAATGTGCTTTCCCAATATATTAGAGCTGAAGTTCACTTGATAGTAGTAACCTCAAGTTACAGTGAGACAACTGCTTCGGCAAAAGGGACTGTGTCTTATAGAAAAACCGAAGTTTAAGTTTAAAGTAATAACTGAGTGTCCAGCATAATGTAACAATGCTGCGATGACTTACTGTTCTTTCTGCTAAACAAGGATCTGGAGGTAGACAGAAAATGGACAAATGTAACACAATGAGAAGGGATGTGAGCAAAAATTTACTAAGGCAGGAATTACAACATTATGTTTGCAAGCGTTAGATGCGCTACACCTTTGGTAGCCGCTATAACATCTATGAAGCAGTGGAGATTTGATGTAGTGGCCTGCTAAGCCACATCATGCAAGTTTATTGAGGGAATAAAGAGGGTACGGTTTAAGGCCAGATGAAGACGTACAGTTGCTGAGATCACGTCTGATGCACCTCATGAAACATCAGCTCTCGTGGGATGCGAGTCTCTGGGCCGTAAAGCTTGCCGGCTCGCCGCTCGAATGCAGCAACATTCTGCTTTACCACTTCATCGAAGAACATGGTGGCTAACTGTGAGTGCAGCAAAGAGCGGAACTCGAAGGATATCTGTTAAACACACAGAAACATAATAATTTAGCTTAAAGAAATACGGCAAATATATATAGTGGGCATGATAGGTTAAAGCTAAGCTCATTTGTGTTCTTGCAAAGATATCAGATGAGATTGGAACACAGTTAGCTTAGCATAAAGAGTGAAAAAAGTGGAACGAAGCCAGTCTGATGGTTTAAAAAAAAACAAAAAAACAAAACAAAAAAAACCCCCCCAACAACAAAAAAAAAAAAAAACAAGCAAACACCTGACTGAAAGGTTTCCTGCAGAAATAGATGTTGTTCTGGTGGCATTTCCTTTAACTTGCAGTTAAAGAGGGTGGAGCTGGAGTCTGACCACAAGACAACAAACCCTTTAGAGAGAGTGAAAGGATAGTGGCCACTGCTAGTCTTCAGCCAAAATGAACAAATTAGACAGGAAGGAGGCGGGAGCTGCTGATAAGAAGCAACTGACCTTTTAAAATAAGAAGTTGGAGACTGCCAACCAAACAGTAAATCATCTCTTGAATAGATATAAAGAAAAAGTGCGATATAATTGGGTAGCTGCTGTTAAACCTAGGAGGCTGACACTAGTAAATCAAATGTTTGGAAAACACTTCCACGGGTGGTCTCTCTTCCTTCATCTTGTTCACTGATGAAGGAAAAACCACACGTAACCACTCATAAAACCACAAAGTGTAATTTTTACATTTGTGCTTTTTCACAGCATAAAAAAACCCCATTAACTAATGAGCATGAATACAGACTTTAATGATATCAGTCTTCTGATGTATCATCTATCCCATGTGGTGTTTAGTACACACAAGCAGTTAAAGTGAGCTACAGGCTAAAGTGAGGCACAGGCTACTTACAGAAAAGTCTACGGTGCAGGTACGAGGGTAACCGGGAATGCCAGGACTAAAGCGCCATATCGTCTCCAGGTGATTGAAGAGCTTTCCATCTGTACACACTGCCTACAAATAACAAAAACAAAGACAATAATTAAAAGTTGTAAAACACAGAAATTGTGTTTCAGTCATATCGTTTCTATATAAACAAATTCTAGCAACAGATTGAGCATTAAAAATCACATATCACAATTCAAAAAGACTGGGATAATATTTCTCTACCATTACTTACTTTGACTAGATGAGGTCTAACATTAGTGATCATAGATGTGTATCTTTCCACTACTGGAGGAAATCCCACTTCAAGCTGGGCTTTGGAGTGACCTGCTCTTTTCATGATGGTCTGGGACTTCTTACACCAAGGCACAAAGTGCTTGTACTCGTCAACGTTGGCCACAACATCATACATTTCCTGCATAGAATACCTGTAACAGGAATATCCTTTTAATAAATATTTTGTATTAATGATCAAATTTATGATTATAAAAAGGCTCATCAATACTTACCCAAGTATTCTACGTTCAGAGTACTCCTTCCTTTTGTTGGTGAGGCTGATGAAGCTTCTGCTTTGGGAAACCGCTGTCATTGTGTCACAATCTTGAAGGCAAAGCACCCTGGGACTTCTTGTCATCAAAATGCCACATGACGACAAGTGTCTGGAAAGGTAATTAGAATCTGTGTTGACGTGATGTGCCATAAGCCCCTATCTAGAAAGAGTACAGTCTGCAACAAAATAGGTCCACTGCTTTCCAGTTTCAACAGTCAGTGAGTGCATGGATGGACCAGAGAGTTATGAAAGGTCAGTGTTGAGAGCATGCTGGTATTTTCCACGTCTGGTCTTTTTTTGTGAATAGCAAAAAGCTGTAAGGTGACACCTACCTGCTCTGGTTGAACAAATTAGCTTTGTGCTTTCTGGAAGGTAGCCTGTAGGATAGGGGTGAGCAACATTTTTTCTCATACTGAGAGTCAAGGATCAAACTAAATAAGCAAATTAAAATATTGCTGTATCAAATTATGACACAAAACATTAGATCCTTGTGAATAAAATATTCCACTTAAATGAAGCACCAGTTTTCAAGTTTTTATATAACTTTACCATAAGACATCATAGGTTATGACAGAATTTGTTTGCCATTTGTTGGAATCAAGTTAAACAGCAGTGAAGCAGTGATTTCTTTTATTCTTTCATCTAAAGACCCATTAACACAATGTTTACCTCGATCAAGGTCAACCTGATCAAATGGGTTGTGATCACTAGTTAATGCAAGTGATTATGTGTGTGTGTGCTTCCCAAAACATGAAAACATTCATTCATTAAGTCAATGCATCACACTATTCACTGCTACCACAAACAGGCTGTTTTGGAAACTGTTCTCCACATTTTGGAAACATGTTATCCATTATGGATAAGCCCCCCCAATTTTCTACACCATTCTTCAGCTCTTACTTTCAGCAGTTTACTTATGGAATAAAATAACTGTGGGTATTCTGTAATGTTTATATTTCATGCATGAAAGAACAAAGTTGAGTGGTTTATAGTTGTGATTTTACAGTTATGTGAAGTCAATACAACAGTGCAAACGTAGTTAATATCCTTCTTTATCAAGTTAGCTTCTTGTAATTTGTTTTCACCAGCAACATGGCACAATTATAACGATTAACTTGCTTGTTTTCATTTATGTTTATGTATGTATTCTACAAAAACATTAAAGAAGACTGGACTGCAGAACCCATGTCGAAGGCAGTTGTTAACAGCTGCCTTTACCTGGTGAGACAGTTCTAGTTATTGGTAGTTCTGTTACACTAATCAGCAGTTGCTTCTCAAATGGAGGCTGGTCACACTTTAAAGATAAGAAACCAGAATTATGGAGCTTGATAACATTATCTAGTGACCTTCTCGTTATATATCGTCCGCCCTCAGTGGCGGCAGAGCGTCAGTTCCTCTGTACTGAATGACCAGCTCGGTGCTGTTAACCATAATAATAACAGCCTCCAGTAACTCCCCGACGGGCTCACCTGATGTTTTGTCGCAGGCATCCTCTTTGCACCGCCGTGCGACACGAGCGAGGGGATCCCACAGTGGCGATCTGGAGAAAGTCACTGAACGTCCGAACACCCATGGGTAATCTCCGGGCACCGGTCGAGGCTGCCATCAAGTCAGCCTCTCCGCTTCAAGAGAGGGAGATCCTGGGTCTGTCGAGCTAGCCCGGGGTCTGCTTTAAGACCGAGGGCACAGAGATTCAAGGGTCCAGTCCAACCTGCACGCTGCTTCGGTGCGGGTATATTAATGAACAAGTAGCGTTAGCACAGCCGCTTTCCGAACTGCGAGCGTAACTATCGTTAGTTACGGCAGTCAGCTGCTAACGTTAGCTAGCAAGATTTCCAACAGCCCAACCAATCACGACGTATGGTTACGTTCCGCTGTTTTTTTTTTTACGTAATACTCACATTACTCCACGCGTCGAGTTCCAAACTTCAAACAAAGTTAAATTATTTACGTCACTTTCTGGCTATAAATATTGCCAAACTGCTGCCAGCTGCGAACGACCTTCTGCTGCTAAATAAAACGCCGGTGGGACAAATTGTTCCTTTCTTCTGTCATCGATTCTGCCCAACAGCTCTGAGAAGAAATGCCGCCCCCTACTCTACAGGAGGTTAACGGCGGGGAAAAAATATTTTTATTTTGTTTTATTTT